GCCACACAACATCAAATTCCTCATCCAGGTTGTTTATGATGCTCCCCAGCCAATCCAATAGAGAGGGGGGGGGGCTAGGTAGAGACACCAGTCTGTCCTCTGTGTTCCATGCATGGATCCCTGGAGCTCATCCTGAGATGCTGCCCAAAGGCACTGAGTGAGGGGAGGTGCTGTTGGAGGCATGACCAGGTCCTGAAGGTCACTGCTAAAGACTTCAGCTGAGGAGTGGAATGGGCTAAATGTTCCTGCCCCTCCAGGCCGGTGATCATTTTCATCAGAGATGGAGAGCAACCAAGATCTGCTGCAAGAACCTCAGCAGGTGTCCTGGACCAAGCTGGATGGAGCACAAGGTGTCTCCCTGTGGAGGGGCTTTGCAGCCCGATTATCAACTAAAACCTTCAGTAGGTTGGCCATTGAAGGTGAGAGGAAGAGAAGAGCTGCAGCACCATCAGAGCGACAGAGAAAGCTTCAAGATGGCTGTGGCTGAAGAGAGGGGAGTCATGGGGGCAGAGGAGCCAGTAAGCCACCTGGACACAAGCTGGGGTCTGATCAGTCCCAGCCGGGTCGCCTGGAGGAGGGTGTATGATGCTGAAAGACCCAAAACACCCTGTGATTCCAGGAACATCACTGAGGACGTGAGCAGGAGCATCACTAGATGTATTTGCACAGCAACAGAAGAATTTAGGAATGAATATTTTTCTATTAGTCCAAATTTCTGTAGTTTACGAAATATGCATTAAAACTTTTTAATACATTGCAATAAATCCATCAGTACATTTTCCATGAGGTGTTTCCATATGATTGCTGGTTCTCCTGCATCCCAGTTACTGTTGGTATCAGGGTTGTAACAGTGCACTGTCCAGCTCTTATACTGTAATGTGGGTCACAGAGGCTTTTACTTTGAATAAGGATCTTCTGGTACTAATGTGTGTAAAATGATCATCTAACAGCTCATGATCAGATATGATGAATTTTTATTTAATTTGTCCTTGAGGAATGAATGATCATTAATGGTTTGACATTGTTAAATATTTTTCCTATAATTAGGGGTAGCTGATGTGATGTATGATGGGTTGAATTTAACATATAATTATAAATCCCATCTTTATTTTATTTTAAAAACTTGTTTTCATTTTGCAGTTAAAATGCGGAATATTATTCGCCTCACTCTGATAGCTGCATTTCCCATCATTATGGTTGGTGTCCTAACAGGTAAGTTTAAGTGTAATTAATGGATATGAATCATTAAAGTAAAGCAGGATAAAACAGCAGCTCCTGGTAAAATATTAAACACACTGTGGTGCATCTTTGAAGATGTCAAACATACTTCAGTGTTTTAGAACAAACTGCTCATTTTTCATCTCAATACTGTACAGATTTTAGGTGATTTTGTCGCTCTCAGGAACTCAGGTTTTAAAATACCTTTAAATCAGAGCTTGATTCCCCCCTGAATCCCCAGCTTACTCCCCCATACAATAAACCAGTAAACACATCACAATGTTTGATATTTTTGCAATATATGTTGCCATATTTATTAAACAAAAAATAAGCTACAGCCCTATGTTATATAAGTTGGTGATGTTGCCACAAATTATATTGATTTATAATACATCTATAGTTACATTTATACATATAGTTACATTTATATAGCACCTTTCACAATCTCAAGGTTGCTGTACACTAAAAAAAATAAGAAAGAGGGATCAGTAATCAGTAAAAGAGGAAAAGACAGAGGAGAAATGTTCAAGGAAAAGAAATGTCTTTAATTCAGATTTGATTGGTGGAAAGTCTGGCGTGTGGAACAATGAGGAGATTATTATTAGAGGATCTGAGAGAGTGAGAGAGTGAGCAGGAAGTCAGTAGTTCACTGAGGTAGTGAGGAGTGAGGTCATGCAGAGCTTTATAAGTGAGAAGCAATATTTTGAACTTGATCCGAGACGGAACCGGTAACCAGTGTAGCTGAGAGAGGATGGCTGTTATGTGAAAGGAGCGTTTGCTGTGAGTGAGACAGGGCTGGACTGGTAATCTGGCATACCGGGCAAATGCCCGGTGGGCCGACGCACTTGGGGGCTGGTCGATATAATATGACTTTTTTTTTTTTTTTAATTGGCCAACGACCGGCCCATAAAGCAGGGACAGCTAGGCCTGTCACGATAACAAATTTTGCTGGACGATAAATTGTCCAAGAAATTATCGCGATAAAC